GGGGGGGGGGGGGGAGGAGAGGTCCCCCTAAACTACCTTAACTACGCCACGGCTTACGATTCTTCGACTTACGATTCTGCTCGACCAACAAACATAGTATACAGGGTGTATAAAAAAACTTAACAGATTTGAAATTGCTTTCAATTTCGCAAAACAGCTATTAGTATGCAGTTTGTTATATATTCTCACTGCTCGCTTTCCCCGCACAATACCTTTAACTGAAGGAATTCAGATTGGGGATAAATAATTTTCAGCCAAAGGTAGAGTGCGGCGAAGCTAGGTCCGGAAGTGTCGCAGCCGAGGGGAGGTGGGTGGTTCCCAAAAAATCTCAGCGCCGTCCTTCCTTTTCGGTGGCAAATCCGCAAATGCTCAAGAAATACCGATTTCGTGCTACTTTTATACTGTCTGACAATAACGTGTATATGGATGACTAACTGATCATCTCATGCATAAATATTCAAAGTATATGGTATTGTGAGAGAAAACTCCTAGTGAGAATATTAATATATCAATAGCTACTTTGGGTACTTATAATGTAGAATAAAAAAGCTTTTAAAAATCGTATTTTGAGTTAATGGGTGAAAAATGTTTTGGGTTTTTAATTGCTGCACGAAATTTCAGACAATTTGCTTCACTCTTTTAACTATTCAGACTATTCATACAAACTTACATTTTTTCCTAAAAAAGCCTTTTGCATGCTTAATTAATACCTTTGCCTAATTTGCATATTGCAGCAATATGGAAATTAGGTAAAGTCATTAAATTAAGCACTTAAGTTCGAAGCTAATATCGATGATGGTAATGGATAGCTAGCTCTTTCAGTGCTAAACTGCTTTTCTCACCGATGGTGGCTCAGTATTACAACAGTAGAAAATGAAAACTAATATAACTAACTTTATAGTTCTGATACAGCATAGCTCTATCAGTTATAAATTGAATTTGAAGGTCTATTGTGTTTGGTTGAGTCAGGGACTCTGAAAGAACTCTCACTCACGTCAGAGGTACAGGAATGTACAATTAAAAGGCACTTGCCTAGGCATTCTCACCCGATATTAGAAATGTCAAGAAATGAAAGATCCTATTGGAACGAATGTCAAAACGGTTTGGAACTAAAGACAAGGTGCTAGAATGGTTTCAATCCTACCTTCAAAGCAGGACACAAACTGTGATGATTGATGGCGTTAAATCTGCTGCTATAAAGATTTAAATTGGGGAGTTCCGCAAGGATCAGTTCTGGGCCCTATTTTGTACCTGTTATACATCTCGCCCATTGGAGATATTATTAGACGTCATGAATTTGACTTTCATTTCATTTCTACGCTGATGATTCGCAACTATATCTTGCCTTTCGGAGGCAACTGCAGATGAACAACCGGGTGCACTTGTGCGAATAGAAACATGCGTTAGAGAGATCGACTCGTGGATGATTAGTAATAAACTGAAGCTAAATGGAAGCAAGACAGAGTTGTTAGTAAAAAACGCACGCCATCGCCCATGCCCGCCTATAGATCATATAGATGTATCCAATTTTGAATTTCCAGTTTCAGTACGCCATAGTGAATCAATATCTATTTTTAAAACAAAATTGAAGACATATTTATTTAAAACATTTTATAAGTAATTGACACTTGTTTTACTAATTTTAATTATTGCTAGTTGTATCTATCTAACTGACTTTTTATCTAATTCACTTCTTA